CAAGAAACTCCTCAAAGAAACAGGCTACGACGATTTGGACATAGCCGACCTCATGATCGAGGGTTGCTCTTTATCCGGCAGCATCCCGCTGAGTAATGTGTTTCCCAGGAGATTTCGGCCGAATCTCATTACGGAAGATGAGCTGGATTTGCTGTCGGCCAGCATCAGGAAGGCAACCTTGGAGGCTACGCGTTCAAGCGGAGATCCCGAAGTGGATGATGTGGTTTTCCAGAAGACTCTGGAAGAGCTTGAGCATGGTTGGGTCAGGGGCCCCATAAATCATAACAATCTCACCGGCTCTGAGATTATTAGCAGGAGGTTCGGGCTCAGACAAAAGAAGGGGAAAGTCAGACTGATCGACGACCTCTCCCAGTCACAGGTCAACATGTCTTGTCAGTCCTGCGAGAAGCCTACTTTGCACGTGCTTGATGTTATCACAGGAGCGGTTGTTCAAATGTTTTCAGACTTGCAGCAAGCAGGGAAATCTACAATGTTGAAGTCGAAATCTTTCGACTTGAAGTCTGCTTACAAGCAGCTTCCGATCTCGGAGAAAGCTTTGAAGCACAGTTTTATCTCATTGTATCACCCAGCAACGAAAGGACCGATTGTGTACCAATCCCTGGCAGTTCCGTTTGGTTCAGTTCAAGCTGTGCACTTCTTTTTGCGTTGCGCAAGAGCTTTGTGGCACCTGGGTGTGTCGGGCCTGAGAATCGTTTGGTCATCCTTCTATGATGACTACATCCTCATGGAAAGATCGTCGCTGGTTCGCAACACGGATGGGTGTGCGAGAATGTTATTTGACCTTCTCGGTTGGGTATACGACAAAGATGGGGACAAGTCCACTGTTTTTGCAGACAGCGTGGATGCTCTGGGCGTCACCCTGGACTTTTCCAACAGCATTGCAGCTGAAGCCTTGGTCAAAAACACTATCGGCAGGGTCGAGGAGATTTCAGAGGCGATCGATGAAATTCTGAACACGAGAACGCTTTCGGCTGTAGAAGCCCTCAGGCTACGCGGAAGACTGGCGTTTGCAGAGGGCCAGATCTTCGGTCGATCTGCGAGAAAGACTTTGAAGATGGTCACAGCATGCGTACTCAGGCAAGCGTGGTGGCAAGATCACTCCTCAGCTGGAAGCGGCCCTGTTGACCTACAAGAAGTTCTTGGCTTGTGGGGCGAGTCGAAGAGTGCGAACATGTTCTAAAGAAACTTGGGTACTTCTTACAGACGCAAGTTTCGATTCTACAGAGGGGGCTTTCAATTCATGCCTGGGGGCTGTTTTAGCAAACCCCACGGGCCAGATTTGCGAATACTTTTCGTTTGAGCTAGAGCGTCACCACATGGTGAGTCTGGGACTGGGTGTCAAGGACACCATCATTCACGAGGCTGAAATGTTGGCGGCTTTCCTTGGCCTGACAATCTGGTCTGAAACGCTGGCTGGTTGTCAAGCAATCCTGTGCATCGACAATGACCCGGTGAGGTTTAATTTGATTTCAGGTATAGCGGAGATGCTTCAAACAACATTTTGGATGCTTTTATATCGCTCGAGGAGAGCCTCAATGTTATGCTTTGGATAACGAGAGTTGCCTCACCCAGCAATTGGGCAGATCTTCCTTCCAGAAGGGAAATGGGTCCGCTGGACGAGCTGGGAGCAAAGAGGGTGTTTGTAAGGAATGAACATTTTCCAGGTTTTCTGAGCCGGACGGATCTGTGAAGTTCTTAACTGGGGGCCGTGTTTCACAGATTGCATGTTTTCCCCAACTTCCTTGAAAAAGGGTTGCGCAGCGCTGCCCTTTTGTTTGAGAAGGTGTTTTAGGATGCGGGGTGGCTTGTTTGACCTTTTCAAAGAAATAATATATATATATATGGTCCCCCCCAAGATCCGCGCTGCACCTCTGCCAATAGGTTTTGGAAGTCAATCTGCTTTGCGCACAGAGAGGTGTTTTGTGAAGATAGTGAAGTTCATGCAAACTTGCAAGCAACTGGTTGATGTTGATAAGAACCCATAAACCTGAAACATATTTTGTTTGGGATTTTGGCTTCTGTTGGCTTTGGCTTTGGCAGATGGCTGTCAAGAAGAAGTGGCAGCAGATGATTTGTTTTGCAGACAGCAGATGGAAGGGTATCAGGTGTGAAGTGCTGTTGTTTGGAGTTGCTTTGTCCAAGAAGCAGAAAATAGGGACAGTGCCACACTTTTGGAGGTCGAGGTGCTGAAAGTGCTGCGCTGTCCCTATTTTTTGCTTTCCAAGAAGCAGAACATACGGACAGTTCCACACTTTTGAAGGTCGAGGTGCTGAAAGTGCTGCGCTGTCCAAGTGTTTGGCGTTCCAAGAATCAGAAAATAGGGACAGTTCCACACTTTTAGAGGTCGAGGTGCTGAAAGTGCTGTACTGTCCCTGAAAAAACATAAAAGTCAATTATTTTGGAGTCTCCAGCTTGGCCCTGCTCCAAGACTCCAACACATCTTTTTAAGGGTTTTTAGGAACAGTACAGCACTTTTGAAGGTTTTCAGGCAGAAAATAGGGACAGTGCACTTTTTGAGGTCGAGGTGTTGAAAGTGCTAAGAAGCAGAACATATGGACACTCCCACATTTTTGGAGGTCGAGTGCTGAAAGTGCTGCGCTGTCCCTATTTTTTGCTTTCCAAGAAGCAGAAAATAGGGACAGCTTCGCTTTTTCCTTGCACGTATCTCTGTTTTGATCTCTGGTCAAGACTTCCTTGCCTCTAACATGGTTTGCGTGGGATCACGTTGCAGCGAAGCACCTGGGCCAGCTTGAGCTTATAAGCCCGGGCGCCCTACAGGTAGACGGAACTAAGTGGAAGGATAAGCCAAAAACTACAGAAGACCATGTATTCTTTCACCTTCCTTTGGCCTCTTTCCATGAGGCCTTTTGGAAGACACTTGATAGATAGTTGTCCGTGAGTTGTTAAATAGTGAGATCAGTTACCAGTATATATACACAAGTACTGGCATGCGTGAGGCGAAAAAGTCCACTTGGGCTGAGCTTTGAGGCCAAAAGTGGTTTCAAACGCCAATGCATTTCCGAAAGCTGCCACTGGAACAGGTTGGGGCTCATTGAAGCTGAGAGTCGCGAAGTTGTGGACGCTACGGGTGGCCAGGCGCTGAGCTGTATCCCACTGCGCTGTTAACCATCGTATTTATTGTTTCCCTGAAGTTTTTGTTGGGGGCACAGGCCAACCCAGTACAGGCGTGTCTTACTCGTTTGCGCGAGCCTCCCTTGTGGTGGATTGACAAGGAAGCCAAAAGGAATGGTTTGTGAAAACCAAAAAGGGGCCACCAGGAGGAGTCTAGTTCTGAGTGGCGACGACCTTGTTTTGGAGTTCAGAGGTAGGTGGCTTGCGCTCTGACGGGCGACGCGGCAAAACATCCACGACCTCACTCTGTTTCACTCACCGAGGTCGCATTCAATACCGTAGCGTGGCCGGCAGTGACCTGGAGGATGGCTTTGCCGCCTGGGAGCTTTGTTGGGAGGGTTGGTCAACCCAGAAAAGGCATGAAAAAACCGTCACAACCAAGTGTGGCCGTTGTTGACCTTCCATCAGAAAGGTTTTTCTTGTTTGAGCAGTTTGTTTCTTTGCTGCGGAAACCTTCTCACCTTCGGAGCCGAAAAGGACACCGAGGACGTGGGCGTGGAGCTCTCCGTACGCGACTCCATCAGGCCAACCGACAAAAAAAATGACTGACCAACAAATGACGAAGTGCCTCATGATGAGATGTTTCGTCATTGTCATTCATTTTCCTGCTCTCAACAAGCTTCCGTCACCGCTCGCAAACGCTCTTGGCTGCTGTCATGGGGGTGGGTGACAAGCAAGTGCCTGGTCGATCGGTCTTTCTACTTGTTTGTTTGGTTGGTTGTTTGCTTGCTTGTTTGCCTGCCTTCCTGCCTTCCTTCGTGCTTCATTTTGGTGGCAACATTTGACTGATTGCAGCACTTTTGCTTTCATGTGATAGCCCACATTGCGCCAGGTCATAGATGTGAGCACTGATTTCTTTGTTTCACCCTTGTGGCTGCTGAGCAGACCCTTGGGCTTATTCCCAGGCTCAAAGCGCCATTCCAGGTGCTTTGCGCTTTTCTCCGGAATAGGTCAAGCGCTGGGCATCCTTAAGCAGGCTGCGGCCAACGTGCCTCAGTTTGCGCCGAGAGCGTCCTGCTGTGTGCTTAAAGCACTCACGTGGGTTGCTTTGAAACACTGACCTGCTTTGATTTTAGTATTGGAAACGCTGTACTGGTGCAAGTACAAACATGTTCTTGAGCAAGTCTGTCATGTGATTGGTTGATGGAGGACCAAGCCACGAGTAGCACGATTCAAGCTGAGCTTTGGTCTTTTGCGGCAGGCGCCTGCATGCGCGTGTAGGTGTACCAGAGGCCCAGTCTTGATACGGAATCTCCCTGTGACACAAAGCGGGGCGAGGCTGGGTTTGTGCTGCACCTGCTAGTATAAATAATATAAACCAGCATAGTGCTTAAGATAATGAGGAAACTACTGGCCAGCAGAACAACTTCGAGACATCCGAAGAAGGACGCATCCAAGGCGTCAACGAAACGAGTGTTTCCAACCATCAAGTACTTTTAGTTCAGACTGCACCCTTGATAGGACAAACAAGTATGACCAAACCTGTATTATCCTGGATTTTGTAGTGCACATGCACGGAAAGGCAGTGCAAGCAAGCAAGCAGGCAAGCAATTTAGCAAGCAAGCAGCAAGATCGATTCTGAAACGGATCAGCAATTTCCACATTCCTCTACACTCTCATCCCTGGTCAGAGTTCAAGCCTTGACAAGTCAATCCTGTTGTTGGACATGTTAGAGTGAGATCATATCCCGTTCGACGCTTCTTGAAGAGTCTATGATGCTCTGGATGAATGGCGGTCATCAAAGAAGCGACCTTTGGTTGGGGGACTCTTTGACAGCCGTCATTCACAGGGCTTTCTGTCCACCAGCGATTGTTGAGAGGTTTGTCTATTAACCGCCGCCTGCGCTCTGGCTTCCCTGCAAGACGCAGCTTTAGCATTGCTCAAGGCGTGGCATGCGGCAGATTTGAGTTGACACGGGTATGACGAGAAACAAGTTTTCCCTTGCGGGCAGGGTTGATCCACCGGCCAGTTCCTAGCACCTCAAAAAGTTGGGGAACTTTTTGGTTGAGGGATGAATGTTGCGTGGCAGCAAGTGGCAGTGGTTTTGAGAGGGACAATGGCTTCTCTTAGCACAATCGTTTCTGGCCAGGTTGACGCAGACATGGCCTCTGCCCCAGTCTCCTTGAGTTTTTGCGCTCGTGTTTGTTCATGAGCAAGAAGCTGGCGGGTTTTGACCTGGTTTTTATGGGAGGAACGGAACAAGTTGCAACCTTTGCAACTTAAAGCTCTGTTTTAAAAGCTGTTGGGCTGGGGATCAAGGCCGAGCCAGTCAAGTCCGCCTTGACCCCAAAGGGCGGGAAGGACCTGGTGTGTCATTATTGTGCGTCTCCAAGAGGCGCAGCAAGTAGGCCATTGGAAGATTTGACCGGTCCCGCACCCCGATCCTTGTGGTGGCAGGAGGGGAAGCCGAAGAAGATGGTGAAGCTTGAAGCTCCTCTGAAGCCAGAAGAGGACACGTGCAACGTGGGTTGTCTGGACCTGCTGAGGCCAACAGTCCACAAAATGGTGACACTGCCACTTCGTAATTCTGTGTGACCTTCATCCCCTCCCCCCGGTTTCTCTCCCTCTCTCTCTCGCGAAATGGGGAAGTTGTTCTCCCTTGTAGGCACGCTTGTGCCTTTTTATTGGCCGACCCCAGCTCATACACACACACACACACACACACAGGGTGCTCAGCACGCTTCCGCATATTGCGCCTGACCTCCCCGGTGTTCACTCCTGAGAGGAAGATGAGCAAGATTCGCCTGTGGTTATCTCGGTGGAGCGTGAAGAGAAAGAAATCAAAGCTATTACGAAGGAGATTAACAAGGAGAAGGAAAAGCCTCCACATTCATCAAGCCCCGAAAATCGCACACTTCAAGAGCAGGTAGAGCAGCTGCTCGGCAGCCCTACACATGCGTGCCTTGCTTTTGACTATGTTGGTCAGCTGAGGCTGGAAACCGGCCTTGCCAGGGTCGTTGCTGATTTCCGTGCACAAGCAGAAGAGGTGAGATGCATTCTCTTACACGCATTCTCTTGGTGCGGCAAGCCGACGGGTTTGCCCTAAGACAGTCGAAGTCTCACGAAGTCTCCAGGTCCTGATGCAACACCTTGATGGCCTCGAAGAAGCCCAGTTGGCTCACGAGTTCGAGGCGGGGACGCACTTTTTGCGCATCGGGGATGGGGGCGTTTCTTCTGAAACTTGTCTGATGGCCTTGAAACTGCCTTACCCCAAAACCTCAGTAGATTCTGTCCTGAAGCACTCACTGAGTATCACCAATGCCATGTTTGGATAGCTGCGAAGAAGCAATTGCTTTTATGTTTGCTCTCAGATTTCTCTTGCCAACATTGTGGGTCCTTAGACGCCTTGGGCGCCTCCTTGCTCAAGTTTCACTGGCGCTGTGGAAACTGTCAGGTGGCCAACCTGATGGCTGAGAACATCATGCTGCGCGAGAAGTTGGGTCTAAAAACCACTGAACAGGTGCGCAACGCGCAAGCCTTGGATTCAACTGAGTGGAGCGAATCAAGACTCAGACATGTGAAGTGCCCGGCCCCGGTGTTTGGCAAGACTACAAAAAGTGGCCGGCTGAAGGCAGGTGAATCAAAAGGCCACAAGTCATGAAATCATGGTGCAGCTGGAGGGAGGTCGGAGCAGTTGGTTGCAGCGAGACTCAGGTGATGTTCCAAAACCTTGTGCCCGAGCCGAAGAAAAAGCCAACACGAGGAAGCAGGCGACTCGCGAGCATTTCTATTCATTTGCCTTTCTTGATCACGGGATGTGAAGGCTCGAGTATGACTTTTTGGCAAGATTTGTCTGAGATCATCAGCCTTACACAGAACAGTCCGTAGGATGGGATTCTTGCCAAATGGCTGCAGCATTCTGACCGACAAGGGATATCCAGATACTGACTGCCAGATCCTTTGCAGGAACGCATTCCAGGATGATGAAGACAACGGTCCTCAATCCTTCAAGCAGGGCGGCGGCGGCAGCGGCTTTCCTACGCCCAACCAGCAGCCTGGGGGTCCTGCGGGTCCTGGGGGTGCTCACCTTAGATGCGAGCCTAAACTCACAAGAGCATGCCGTGCTGAGCTGCCGAGCTGCCGAGCTTTGCCGTTTGAGGCCGCCAAAACAACCGGAAAGGCGGGAAGAACCAGCAGCCGGGTGGAAGCTGGCAAGCCTTCATGGCCTGGGTGCCAAACGGCGCCGGCATGCAGACCCTTGCCTACCCTTGCCTACCCTTAATGCCCTCTCCACAAAGCTTCAGTAGATCAATGAGCGTTTTGCAGCTCATTCTGATCAGTTGCCTGGAGCACTGTCCCAAGAGATCGGGCAACTCATCCATTTCAGATGGTGTGTAAAGGGGATCACAAGCATCCTCCCGTTTTTTGTGCCAATTGGTCACAAGCTGAGGAATGCGGAGCCTTGGAAGCCTTTGCCGCAGCAGGACATTGCCCAGGCCAATGTGCCGCAAAATGGGAAGAACCGCCAGGTCATGACGCTTGGCACAGTCCGACAGTCTGTTGTCCGTTTTGTTTCGGATGTTTCACCTGCTCGTCACTCTTGTCTGCTGTGGGTGAGTATTGGTTTCGGTATGGACTGGCTTGGCGTAGATTTATCGACTACGTCTCTTCGATGTGTGACCATGTTGCAATGTCTTAACTTGGGTGTGACAGCGAACAGCGCGACCTGGGGGTGTAATGCGCTGCCGACTCGGCAGCGAAGGCATCGGCCACGGCTGTTGATCAACGGAGTCCTGCACAATCTATGAACAAGCTGCAACCAGCTGTTTCTGAGAAAACCAATGGCAGTCAAACAACTGCAAGCAACTGCAACCAACCATGTACCCATGATCCACTAGTTACTATTGCACAGGCAAGCATTCAACCGCAAGCACACCAAGGTACACTTCAGCGGAAACACTGTTGAGACTAGACCCAGCCAGTCCTGTCACGCAGCTCTTCCCTGTGCTGGGCAAGTCCAGGCAACCCGGAAGGTTCCACTTCAAGTCAGCCAATTTGCTGGAGCAAAAGGCATGTTTCATGAACCGAGTAGATCGTCACTCCAAAAACTGACACTTACACTTTTGAGTCGGTTGTGGCGGCGAGAAGTTGTTTGCTTATGGCTGGTATCTTCTCCGACAAGAACCTACTGCTCTGGTTTGGACACTTCGGTCAACCTGTGTGCCATTGTGGTGCGGGGTACGCCACCAGTGCTGCGCAAGGAAGCGAAACACGACTGCCAACACCGGCGGCAACTTAGCGACTTGCATACACTGAGGACGTTGTTGAAGGGACTTCCACATTGCATGCACATCGGATTTGTGAATTCAATGCAGTCGGATCTCATGGATTGATGCAAGATGGGCTCCCGTAGTGTTTTGATAGACATGAGGGTTCTACTTCAATGTCGCACGCACGTCAGAGAACTTGTCAGGCAATTTTGCCCGGTGCACCTCAAGAAGACAAGCCACCGAAGGATGATGACGATTCGGACAGTGATAGTGGCAGAAGCAACTCGAAGTCCAAAATAAGAAGAGTCTTGACTATCATTGGCTTGATGAGCAAGCGTATTTTGTCCAAGGCAACTTGGCCGGGGAGGAACAGTTCGAAATGCTTGAGGCACGATATCACAGCCTTGACGTGAAAGCTTGCATGCGTGCGAGCCGCAGGTGTGGCGAGCGTCGTCCAAGCAAATGAAGAAAATGAAGAGGGGAAGCCATGGAGAATCAGAGAGCTCTGTGCCCTTCCGCCACTTGGGCAGCCATGTGCTTTGATTTGCCGTGCAGGGAGGAATTTTGATCACGAATTGCAGCAGACAAGGTGAGGAGGAGGACGACTATCAAGAGCCAGTCTCACACGGATGGATCTTAAATCCAGATTCCTCAATCCGCGTGGCTTGGGACTTGGGAAGTTTAGTGATGGTGTTGTACGACATGGTGATGATCCCAATGCAGGCATATAGTCTTCCTGAAAACGCGTTTTTGACGATGATGGAGTGGACGACTCGCCTGTTTTGGACATTCGACATCTTCTGTTCTTGCTGCACTGGTGTGGTTATGGCCGATGGCGCTGTCGAGTACAACCTGAAAACAATCCTGAAGCGGTATGCAAAGACCTGGCTGGCCTTGGACCTTGTGATCGTGTGCTCAGACTGGTCTGAGGTTATATTCTCTTCATCAGGTGTGGCAATGCTGAGCTTTGCCCGCGTCACACGGATCATACGAATTGTGCGCTTGCTGAGACTGGTGCGTATGCAAGAGATCATGGCCAATGTGACGGAGCGAATCCAGTCTGAGACATTGGGGCCGTTAGTGCAGGTGAGCAAGGTCACAATCGTGTTGCTGACCATCTCCCACTTCACCGGTTGCCTGTGGTTTGCGCTGGGTGCTCGCGACGTGACAGAATCCACCTGGGTAAAGAATCAAGGTTATACAGCGCTGGGAGTGGATGCACAGTACCTGGCTTCGCTGCATTGGGCCCTTGCTCAATTCTCAGGCCCGGTTCATGGGCTTGTATTTTCGGGGGTCAAAGGATCTCTATTCGGAGATATTTTGAGGGTACTTTGTTTTGTTATTTGTTGCCAGACCTAGGAACAAAATTCATGTGACAAGCTGCATGTTTGGAGAACCTCGTGAACAGGTCGATTAGAAAAGTTACTTTTAGTCGCTGGTTCACTCCCAAAAAAGCACCAGGAGACTTCCTCAATTTCCCACAAACACCAGGGGACTCACGGGCGAGGAACTTGCAAGGGAAATCTGATCTCGCGCTTCCATCCGAGACAGAAGCCACAAATCCATCGTCAGTACATGTCAGTACTCAACATCAACACACCGAAAACACTGGAGTAACGGACAAGGGACAATGAATTTGGCAGTTTGTCACTGGTTGGGAGGACAAGGGTGGGACAACCATTTCGCACAGACCAGTAGAACCAGCTCTCTTGGCAAGCAATGTTGTATGTGGTTCAAATAGCCAAGCAACTTGGAGGTGGCATGGATGAGATCTACCCGATGAACCCCTTGGAACGGCTTTTTGCTGTGGCCATTGGTGGCTTGCCTCCACTCTGGCAGGGTGGGAGCTGCAGGAGTTGGGGCACCCTTGGTTGCCACCATTGCCAGGTCATTTTCTTTGCTGGCGTTGGAGAATGCCCTGCTCGGTTGGGGGGAGTTCACAAAGGGTTTGATGTCATCTAACCCGCCCCGAAGCTTTCGTATGGTGTGCTACGGGTGTGCGAACATATTTTCGTATAGTTTCTTTTCCGATGGTGTGAAGCTTGCCTAGGCTCAGTTGCCTTGCACCATCTTTATGGAGTGCCCTTCAAAAGGTCATCAATGATTGATGAGTGTTCCCGAACTAATTGGGTGATCCATCCAGACGGGTCGCACAGCCCCAATTCACCCAAACGCCATTGACAGGATTGATCAGCTAGAGGCTTGTCCACGCACAGGGCTGAACATGGGGGTCAGGCTTCGCCACTTCAATGGTTCAGGGCCTTCTCCCTAAAGCCAACCATTCGTGAGGGTGTTCCTCCAAAAATCGTAGCCACTTGAATTCATTCTTGTGTGCGACGGGGGGTCGCTCAAGCCAAGACGCCTATCCAGCCGAGCCGATTGGATGACCCCGCGTCTCAAGCTGGAGAGCGCTCAGATTGGGATTCGTCCCATTGTAACCTAGGCCTTTTTTGGGGACCCAGGTCTTTTCGGGCCGGAATTGGATGTCCGATGTGTCCGATGTGTCTGATGTGTCTGATGTGTTCGATCTGTTTTTCACTGAGGTGGCACCATCTTTGTGATCGCCCTGGTGATGCTGGGAGTCTTCACCTCTGGGCTCACGCAGCAATACATCATCGGTGGCAGCGGCGCAAGGCAGCTCGCAACCTTAAAGAGGTACCTGAAGCAGAACAACGTCTCTAAGGCCAGGGAGTCGAGGAAGGACAAAAGAAGCAAAGGGAAGTAACAGGAAGGTCTTTAGATGCGCCAAGGAGGAAGCTAACTGCTTGGAAGGCAGTCCCGGATTTTTGAGGATTTGACTGATTTCGTTGCATAAGTAGAGCCGTCTCTTATGTTTATCACTCATTGGTCTCTGCTTCGCCTGGTTTTCCCGAAGCTCATTGGCTATATTTTTGCACGTGGTCCGGGGAATTGATCATGATCACCAACTAAGCCACTGGGGAATCCAATAACTTCGGGCACCAACGAAGTTGTTTGCGCCCAGGCAAAGTGAACAGCATGTTTCTGTGCAGAGCGGAAGCCGCCCTGGTGGGAAGTGTTGCATGCGAACACATTGAACGAACTCTCAAAGTACCGCGCTCAAAGGTGCACATTCCCTAGCCTATTCTGGAGAGTGACAGGGATCATACCAACGCTGTTTACGATGGGCAAGCACATGTCTGTCCCGCCATTCTCCAGCACCAACCATCAGAAAATGTTGTGCTGCCGAGGTGACGCTTGTTGGGATGTATGTTGCTAGCAAAGGCAACAAAGCTAGCCCTGTAGAACTTGCAGAGAGAGAGAGAGGGGGACAGAGAGAGAGAGAGAGAGAGAGAGAGAGAGAGAGAGAGAGAGAGAGAGAGACAGAGGGGGCGCGAGAGCGACCGGATTGGAACACTCACCGGTGGCTGCATGCTCGTAATGCTATATAGGGGCCTGGCAGGTCATCACAAAGCGGGTCTGCCGCAACGCCAAGCATGCCATCAGTGGAGACCTCACCCCCGAGTCCGTGGAGCTTTTGCACGTGATCTCAGAACCTTTGAAGGTTGAGCTGGCCTTCGCGCCTTGCCCAAGTGGCAACTCTCGTGTTGAAGAAGGGAACCTAGGAGAGCCTTCGTTTCTGGCAATGTTTCCCTCGGCAATTTGGGGTTAGACCCCAATGAGGGGATGTCGAGTCATGCGAGAGGGATTGTCATCTTGGGGCCGTAAAGGCATGATGCCGTTCTCTTCGATCCGCATGACAAGAGCATTGCTCTCTTTGGGATCCCCTTGCTTGCCACTTGGGAGTTTGAGTCTTCTTGCTTTGCTTGTACCTTGATTACTTGACCAACAGGACGTTTCTTTGTATGTGCTGTGGAATCAAGTAGGAACTTTGAGCTGAACTCCGTCCACCTGCGTTGTTAAAACTGTTTGGGGCCACTCCAAATAGTAATGCTTAAGCAATGGCAAGGGCGGAGCCTTTTGGTTTCCCATCAAACAACTCTGCCACAGATTCTTGTGCTTTAATGCCTGGTTCTTGCTAAACTCTTGCGTTCTGCCTTTGATTTTGGCGGCTTGGCCCGATTATCTCAGGACATGTACTCGCAGGTGCTGATGTGGCACCCTTTCTGCCTGGAGCTTCTGCAGGATAATTCTCCGATCATGCGCCCGATTTGCCAC